TTTTTTCACGACCTGTTCTCCAACGCCGCCGACCCCTCCGCCGTGCCCCGCACCTTGAGGCGGCGGCCGCCGCCGCGGGGGTGTCGTCGAGGACGGGCGGCGTGGGTGGCACCCCTGGCGGCCCGTCGGGCTCCATCGGGACCCATCGGCTCAAGGGGTCATGGCCTGCCTGATTTATTACCAAAGAGACAAATTTTCCTCTTGGCGCGCCCGAGGCCGCCGCCGCTGCCTGCCCGGCTTGGAGGAGGAAGAAGCGAATCACCCCCTCTCGTTTTTAATGACGGCGAAACGGACTTCTCCCCCTCCCCCCTCCCCTCCCCCTTGCCCTTGCCTACACCCCTCGGAAACAAATGCGGCCCGAGATCGGCTTTTACCATGGATTGGCGAAAATACTGCTTGCCCTGCAAAAAAAATGTATTGTTTTGTAAATCACGTCTGCAATCTTTTGTGTGCCAGGATATTGGGGTGACGGAGGAAATCCCACGATGTAATGCATTGTAAAACAAAAACGAAAAATGAAACGCGTGTGATACTCCCATTTTTTCCGACAATCTTCTTTTCCAGAGGAACGGTGGTGGTGGTGCATGATGATGAACTCTTGCAGTCACTTTGCTCCACCACCACTGAGCACCGCCGGCCATCACGGCAGGTCGTCTCTCGCTTATAGAACGCCCCTTATTATTCTCTTTATTTTCCAACCACCACCGCCACCACCGCGCGCCATTTTGCTTTAGATTTTCATTATTCCCGGCATCCATCTCTCTCCTCGTCTCCTCGTGTGAGATGCCTCCCCCGCGCCATTATGCTGTTCCGGACGGGCTTCTGCTCCGGCAGCTCCAGGGCGCCGCTGACAGCCCGAGTGGTGATGGAGCGGCTGCTGGGGAGCGGCGGCGCCTTTTCATCGACTTCTAGCGCTGCCTACTCCCTGCCTCCTCCTACTCTAAAATAATGTGTACAGATCCATTTCAATGACCCCCCCCCCCCCCGGCTCCGCCTTCACCCTCGGATTGCAGTTTTTGGATCAAGCAAAATGCTTTTGACCTATGAACCTGTACTTGAATAATGTGCTTAGCCTTTATTTGCAACAATGCCACTATGTTTGCCACAATCAAGTAGTATGGTCCTGGGAGAAGTAGAAGTTCAAGTCAACAACATTTTGCTTGCTTGATCCAAAAACTGAATTCTCCTTTTTGTAAATTGTTTTGTTTCAATTATATTAAAGCGCGGACAGCACCGCCACTGCCATCCGACATCATGCTGTTTTTCTTCTTGCTGTAGACGTCATTTGGAATAGTGAGAGGGCCACTCCCACTCGCTTTTTGTCGTACCTTAATAAGCCCCGAGAGTCTGTGGTTTTATTTTTCGAGTAGACTTTTAATCTATTTAGTTTGTGGAAAGAGAAGTAGTCGTTACTCTGGTGGACTGTTTTGTTATGTCAGCAGAGCAAGGACGACGGGTCCGGGGACGGGGACGGTTCTCTGCCGCCGTGCACACGATTGGCTCGAGTTTCTTTCTCTTCTTCTTTCTCCCCCGCAGTTCCAGTTGCTGCTTTGAGAAAGCTTGCGCCGTTGCTCTAGGATCAGACTCGGTAACTTTCAGGGAGAAAAAGATAGCAAAAGGTTGGAAAGGGGAGAAGGGGGAGGGGGGGGGGTGACCTCTTGGCCAAAGTCTGTTGCGACTGTGTACTGCCATCGTCTCGGGCCGTAAGCCGACGACCGAGAGAATCTCGTGATATCCGAAACAGATCCGCTTTTCTTTTACTGTTCAGTCTGTCTGTAGCAGCCAGCAGCGCCAAACCTTTTCCCAAACCAGAACAAAAATGTATGGCCCAGTTTTCCGTGCACGCGTCGAGTAACTTCCGTTACACCCGCTGCTCGCTCTGGCATGGCGCCTCAGGAGGGCGGAAAGCGGCTGAGGTGCCAACATGTTTATGAGTTTGTCTGCGGCTGCTAACAAGACGACCGGTCTGATGGACGGCTGCCAGCGGAGGAAAAGTGAAAGATTGGGGAGGGAGGAAGGGTGGGAGTGGCGGGAGGTTTCAAAGACGGAGCGAGGGGTCGCGCTAATTATGGTTAACCTTAATGTAAAAAGAGAAGAAATAGACTAGTTTTTTTAATTTTTTAAATGGTTTTCTCTTCTTTCTTTAATTTTTTTTGAAAAGTTGCTAAATTTTCCGGACAAATTGTGGACTTATAAATCCCAACGCGCAACGTGAAACGACCCGTAAGAGAGAATGATCTGCAAATGTGACGTGTTATTCAGTGTTCATGACTGTGTTTGTTCTGAAAACGTAATTGCTCCCTACTTTTCATTTTCATAATGCTTCCTTGGAAATGGACACGGACGAAAACTTTTAATTCTAGCCTCTTGGCCTACGTTTCCGAGGCGCACTGAGAAAGTAGTCCCTGCCGTACCATGGGCTGCTCACACCAAAATCAGGAAGTGTTGTGTAGAGACATACGCTCCTCATGGCTGAAGTACATATGTCATGACGTCAAACAATCTTTTTCGAGCTGCTGTGCGTTCTGCTCCACACCTTGTGGTTAGCGCGACACTCGCTTCCGAATTTGCAATGGAGATGAGCGTCTGTTGAGAATGCGATGCAGATGCTTATTTTGCGCAGCTTGACAAAGCGCCGCGCTTCTTTTGCCAACTGATGCCCTCTGCACGTGCAGTACTTCAGTGTCAAAACGATTTACATCAAAACGTCCACTACATTGTCAAAAAATTCTTATTTTTACCACCGATTATGCTGTGGGATTTTAAATATGCATTCTTCAATATGCAGAAAATTGTTAATTTTCTGTCATCACTTAAAGTTGGTTTTAAAGATTCTGGAACTTTCTATATAAAGTTTGTTTTTTTGTTTCTTTTTGGTATAAACAAACAAGTCTTTTGCGGATCATCATCTCCGCGGCAAAGGGCCCTCTTGTTTTTATTTGCTGGTTGTTTGGAGCTTTTGGTTAAGCCCTTCGGATGGCCCCATTGTGGTGGTCGTCGTCAGGGCTCGGATTGAGCCGAGCGGCAGGCTGGAGGCTCCGGTCGGCTCCAAGTCGCCTCCGGTCGCCTCCAGGTCGCCTCCAGGTCGCCTCCGGTTGCCTCCGGTCGCCTCGGAGTCGCCTCCGGGCGCCTCCGGTCGCCTCCGGTCGCCTCCGGTCGCCTCCGGTCGCCTGCTCCGGTCGCCTCCGGTCGCCTCCAGCCTTGGCCGATAGCGCGCTGCTCGCGGGCGCGCAATGGCCAAGTTTTCTCGTTAACATGCCCTCCTGACTTTGCAGAAGGCGGGCGGGGCTGCTCGCGGGCCAAGTCTCTGGCACGCTATCAAATGTCGCGAGGAAAAACTTTCTTTTACATCTGAATCCGGTGGAGGCCGCCTGATCCGGCGAAAGGGAAAGGGGCGCGTGCGGTTCAACAATAGCGAAGACGGTGGCGGCAGCTGGCCGTGAGGACCAGCGCTGCAGAGGTGGTGCGCGACGCACGCCCAAACTGTACTCTAATCTGGAGAGGAGAGGGTCTCTCTCTCTCCCCCTCGCTCTCTCATGCTCTCCCTCGTTTTCTTTCCCCCCTTTCTTTTTCTCTCTTTCTCCCCCTCTCTCTTCTCCTTACGCGCCCTCTCTCCTTAATGACGACCTTGCTACGTCGTGAAATTTAATTAAGTATATTGAAGGGGGTCTCGTCCTCGTCGCGACGTCTTTGGCTTCTTTTGTGGTTCCCTGGCGCGGTTTTAGAATAAAAAGTTGTTGCCGCCGCTGCTGCTGCTGCGGGGTGTTCGGTGTCCCGCCTGAGTGTGCTGCTGGAGCCTGATAGGCCCACCCGCCTGGAGGCGGCCACCCCGCGCTGCTAGAGGTGCCCGCTAAACGTGATGAACTCGCCCGCGCGTTTTGAAATTCGCGCGCTCTCTAGAGCTCCATAGCAGGTTGGCGGCGCGGTGAATGCTTTGCTGCTGCTGCTTTGAAGTAGCCTCCAGGGCCGAAAGAGGAAAGAGGAGGAGGTAGGTGGGTCTATGACGACGCGGCGAACGCTTGCGCTGGGGAGGTGTTTCTTTCGCTACTGGAGTACCTCCTCATCATTTAGCCATGACAACAATAAGGTTAGGTTTGCTATGGTACACGGAGTTTTCTCATTTAATGACGAAGTCATACCTTCCCTCCATTTCGCAGAGAGAGGAAGAGAGAGAGACGTAAATATAATTGATGAACATAAGTCTTTTAGCCGTTCCCCCCAGGAGGACCAAGCTCGCAAAAGCTTTGCCCATTAAAACTGAATGACACGTTTTCCTTTCTGTTTCCAGGCTCGTGCGCGCGGAAGAGAGAAGGGGCAGCTCGGCCGGCCGTGCCGCAACCTCGTCGCATGTGACGTCGCTCAAGGTAAAGCTCCCTTAACGACACGAGGCCTTAGCGGGCGGAATCCTTTCAGAGAGGAGGGGAGGCACATAAGCGCGCCTCGGAGAGAGCGCCAAAGTCTCTGTGGCGGGGCGGGGCGGGGCGGGGCG